CCCGCACTCAAAACATCTCTCCTTAAATCCGATGAGGTTCGCAGCTCTCACCTCACTGCTCCCCTCCCCAGACTGTTTCCTTGATGCTTCTTCCTACATGACAGCAAGTTTTAATTACTCAGAAGTTGGGGGCTGCTCACCTCTAAGTTTAGCTGAGGACTGTAGGTACTGTAATATCGGTACAGACCCCATGATGGCATTATTAAAGGCGTCCCTCTTTTCCTCCTCGGATAAAGGGGTGGCGTCTACAGAATTTTCGTAAGTTCGAATCGCCTCCTCGAACTTCTCACAAAACTCGACTGCTGTCATTTTTCCAATTACATACTGCATATTGGAGATTTCTTTCCTGACCGTAAATGAAGATACATTAGTTTCGTATCTTTTTATCTCTTTGAGTTTATTTAGAATAGCTACTGGATCTTCTAGTAAAACTACTTTAGAATGATAGTTTTTGTCTGTGATTGATCAATATGTCTCATATAACTAAGGGTCCTTTGTTAAGGATCTCCAGTTTTATGGCTTCAGCAACTTCTTTAGCAGTGCTATTTTCAGTGCTTCCACCACTTTGACTCTTTTCTTCTCGCCTCAGATTTTCCCATTGTCTTTTGATAAAATTCTCAATTCTCGCTTCTAATTTTTCATCTTCATCTAAATCATGCGCATCATCTGGTGAATCTGATCCATTTCTCACCTTTTTACCAGGGTCCTCAGTTTCAAACCTCAGCGGTCTCTCCGTCCCGTCATCGATACGGGAGAGCCTGTCATCCCGGCCGTTCCTCATCTCGCTCAACTCTTTCCTCATTTCCTTGATGGTGTCTAGTATCCAGCCACTAGTGTCGGTCTGAATATTCAAAACCTTCACAAGTGTCCTGGTCACAGCATCAAGTTTCGAGCATACCGATTCAAGTCTGCCTTCCACTGGAATTTCAGTTCTTGGTTTGTTCGCGTGGTATTTCATTGGATTTGTCGGGTGGTTTCGTAACGTGGATCTTATTATAACTTTAGGTTCCACGTACTCGATTTTTGTAATCTGTGGTTTACTTTTACCTGCTTTGAGAACCTCAATTATTGCCGCTTGTCCCCCACCTTGTTCGGCCGACGCATCTTCACTTTCCTCACCCTTCTCTCCGTTCTCACCGTCCTCCCCGTTCTCACCGTCGCTCTCCTCACCTTTCCTCATCTCACTCACCTCGGCAGTAATTGGTGGTTGCTCCTTATAGATTTTGGCCATGATGGGAGGCTTATTGGCGAGGAGATTCTGATCATGCCACTCCAACAGTAGCCTCCACTGGTTCTCTGTAATCATACTTTTGGCTGTTGTGATAAATAGAATCTATCAATATCAGTATTACACCTATTATTAGCATTTGTATATTATGCCCTTTTACCGACCAACCGAACACAAGTATAGTCAGCTTCAGGACAGTCAGACACAGACGAGATATGAACACATTATCCCCTCTATGCCCGACAGAGCTGATCAATTTCCACGCACTGAACACAAGCACGCTTCCACTGATCACCTCTTTGGAGCAACTAAACTTCAGATTTTATTCTGAATTTTTAACTAGTATTTTTGTTTAATTTGATCATTTTCAGTGCTTAGTTAATTTGTGATTATATTTGCCAGCTAATATCTTCACAAGCACTTTGATCGCATGCATTTCTTACCGTAACTCTCCTTTTTAATTCATCTCAACTCACCAAAGTTATAACACTTAATTGTGTCAGTTCGTATTAACACGGTCTCTTCTACTAACTCGAGGACGACGTCCTCTCCTTTATGGAGTTCATCAAATCCAAAGAGGAACGTTAATTGCCTCAACAGTTCCCACAAGTCGTCATCTATGGTAATTTATTTATTAGTTTGCTAATTTGGGCTTGTTTTTATTTTTGTGCACTCTCGCCTTATTTGTATTTCGCATCAATTTCAAATTTGAATTTAGTTTTGCCGCCGGCCGCAGTTGCGATGCGCGCGCGCTGGCGGAGAGCTGCGTGACCCCTCTTCTTTTCTACATCTCGCCATCTCATCATTCGCTCGAGCTTTGCGTGTGCTGCTTAACTATAGCCACTCCTGGTTACTATCCCCACCAATGCTGCGCGCGCACCCACCACGTTAACCGACTCTCTATCCTGTTCGCTTCCCTCACCGATTCTCCATTGGACGCGTCCCTCACTATGTTACAACTCTCCCAACTCATCCCTCAACATATATTGTTCCCACCTATTTCAATCTATTTTTATTTCTATTTTCTTTCGGATTTTCAATTCCCTAATTGAATATTTCATTTTTTTCCCGGATTTTCGTTTGATGGTTTGGCCAACGTTTGTTGTCCATCATCTTGTCTCCCAGCGTCCACGTTGTTTCTGTGATGACGGAATCCCTTTCCGTTGCCTGGGAGACGCTTACCACCGGTATAGCACATTCAACCGTACTTACGCCTCTCTCCTTCTGGCTTTTCCATCTTTCCAGCCTTCCCTCGCCTTTCCTCGCCACGTCAGACCACTAAACACTTGGCACTATGTTCCTGAGGGTTTGTCCTGATTTTTCACTATCACTTTTATTTTTCGTTTCTCACTTGAGTTTTTATTTGTGCAGTGGAAGCGTGCTGGGCCCATAACCTGTTTGATTGTGGGTATGGACACAATAAATAGTATACGGGTTTTCTTGTTAGAACACTGGTTTATTGGCTACAACACGTCTCGTCTCGCGTCTCGCAGTAGAGTGAACTCTCAAGTTACAACCTGATGGAGAGGAGATCCGCGCATGTGCAAGATCTAATCTCGCCATAACGAATATATATGTCATACGCAAGGGCCTAAGCCCAGTGGGACCGGGAGGTGGCGCCGACTTTCCAACATTTTCCATCGAAACTGCTTTTTTTGCGAAGAAATTGAAAAAAGAAAATTTTACTGGAAAAGTATGTATACGATCCCTGGGCTCGAATTTTTAAAAAATCTCCTAATTGTTTTTACGATTCTTAATTTGAAATAAGTAGGTTTTTGGTACCGAATTTTGGTGACTTTTCATTTGAAATTAAGTAACTAGTTTCTTATTCTTATTACAATGCCTCCTAGAAGCATGAGTTTCTCAAAATTGGTAACTTGGTTCTGGAAATTAGAAACTTTCTTTTCTCTGTGTATGTCCAGTTGAGTATTATTGGCGAAAATTTCCCGTTCTTTCGATTAAGCATGGTTTAAAGTTGTTCACAGTACCAGAAATGTCCTGAAATTCCGAAAAGAGTTAAAAATTCCGCGTTGTATCACCTTTCCCCATCTGGATTGCAGATTTTTCTTTTTTTTTGTGGAACTGACTTTTTGTTTCGGAAAGTATCCAAAAATCAAAGTCGGATTCTACTCTATTCTATCTAAACATTATTTCTGTCCTGTTTTTCCTTTTTTTGATTTTTTTCATTAATTAAAAATGTTTTTTGTTTTCCATGGAAACCGTTTTTTTTTTCGAAGAAATTGAAAAAAGAAAATTTTACTGGAAAAGTATGTATACGATCCCTGAGTTCGCATTTTTAAAAAGTCTCCTAATTGTTTTCAAGCAGACCAAAAACTATGTTCCGAAAAATTAGGTTCAAATGACCCAGACATATCTGAAATGTGGAAATTTATTATTCCCTAGGAAAGTGTTTATACGACTTTTTTATCCGTATTTTCACAAAATTGAAAAATTCCCCGTAAAAAAAATGAAAAAAATTGTCTCGAAAAATTGGGCCCAGATGACTCAGAATCATCAAAAACGTGGAGATTTCATATTCCCTGGGAAAGAGTTCATACAACTTTTTGGCCCAAATTTTCAGTGAAAAAAAATTACGCGTCAAGAAATCAAAAAAATTGTCTCATAAAATTAGGCTCAGATGACTCAGCATCATCCAAAATGTGGAGATTTCATATTTTCTGGGAAAGTGTTTATACGACCTTTTGGCCTGAATTTTCAAAATTTTTCAAATTCCTTGTAGAGAAATAAAAAATTTGGTTCCGAAAAGATAGATTCAGATGATTCAGAAACATCTGAAACGTGGAGATTTCATATCCCCTGAGAAAGTGTTTATACGACCCTTTGGCACAAATTTTGGGGAAAACCAAAAAAAAATGTTCATACGACCTTTTGGCACAACTCACGCGAATTGTGCACTTAGGGAATAGTGAATCTGCACGTTTCAGATGATTCTGAATCATCTGAGCCCAACTTTTGAGGACAATTTTTTTTTATTTTTCAAAGGGAATTTGGAAATTTGAAATGGGGCCAAAAATTAAAAAAAAAAAAGTTTCTTTAGGGGATAATGAATCTGCACGTTTCAGATGATGCTGGATCGTCTGAGCCCAACCTTTTAGGACAATTTTTTTCCAATTTTTTGAAAGGTTTAATTCAAAATTTCCAAAATGTGTTTCATTTTGAAAATGTGCTAGAGGGAAACTTAATCCCTTAATTCAATAGATTCCAGAATATTTTTGCCTTGAAACCATCATTTTTTGGTTGATTAATTTCATTTATTTATTTTGTGAAATTAATTTTTTTTTTTTTCTAGATTTTAGCCGGATGAAAGTTCTAAACTGCAGATTCGAGAATGTAGAAAAAAAATCTTGAATTTACTTTTTTTTTTCTCTGTGTGATTATTCCAATTCCAAATTACAGAAGGAAATTTGAAAATATTATAGTAAATCATCCCATCAATTCAGTAATTGGGAAATAACGAATGAATTATATAGCTAATCGGAAAATCGTCGAAGTCAACAATATGAAATTACTTTCCCATTCCAGTAATTCGGTATTGTGAATATTTATTATTCAATAATCTGTAATCTGAGAAATCACATTCCCGGTTAGTCAGGTATTCTCCAATGGCATTTTATTAGATTATTTCTATCGCCGAGAGTTAGTAAAGGTCATTGAAAATTCTTTCGAATATTTCGGTAATTTGCGATTAGTGCTAATAAAAATTCATGTATTTGCCAATCGATTCAAAAGAATTATAAATTTCAAAGGAGTAATGGGTTACTGATACACAACTTGATATTTAATTGTAATCTCCAATTATTTTTCTTAGATTACGAAAGAAAAATGTAATTTAATGTTCAGGAACGCCAAATTCCCAATTTTCCCATCCCTGCCGTCAGGTTCCTAGAACATCATTAAATTCTTCTAGTGTCACTGCTGCTGCAGGATTCAAGGTTCAAAAGGAGAGACTCACTGTGATGGCTTGTTGCAATGCCTCTGGTACATTCAAACTACCTCTCATGGTAATTGGAAAATATGCCAAACCTCGTGTTCTCAAGGACTTGAAAGAACTTCCAGTAGTCTACAATAACCAAAAAAGTTCCTTGATGAGTGCCTTTTTGTTTGAAGAATGGTTCAAGAACCAATTTGTGCCTGAAGTGGAGCAATATCTACTATCCCAGGGATTACCACCAAAAGCAATCTTACTTATGGATAACTGTTCAGCGCATCCAGCTAATCTAGTTGTCAATGGCATCAGAGTCGAGTTTTTACCACCCAATACAACTGCACTGATGCAGCCCATGGACCAGGGGTGCCTCCAAAACATAAAAACTTTATATAAGATCCAAATCATTGCATTCATCATGAAACAACTTAACAGTGGAGCCAGCATTCCTCAAGCATTAAAGACTGTAACGATTCGTGAGGTAATATTTTGGCTCTCTGACGCGTGGGATAAAGTTGTTCCCTCAACGATTAGGAAAACATGGAAAAAGGTAGGGAAATCATATGTTGCAATCGTGATATTGTAGTGAAATTTATTCCATTCTTTCGGTTTATGAATCAAATTTCCAATTTTTCTCAATTACGCAATTCTTTCGATAATGAGTGACTGTAGAAGAAAATGCTAATAAATCTTATTTATAGCCCATAAAATTGTCAACAAAAAATGGCTTTTGATATTTTCTCCTACAATCACTAATTATCGTGGCAAATGTTCAAATAACACAAATTGATCATTCGGATCAATTGACTAGTGATATTTTAACATTTTGTTAAATTGTTAATTATTTCGGTAATCAGTGGCTTTTCGAGGAAATGTTAAAATTCCTTTTTTGTAGCCATTAAAATATTCAATAAAAAAAATTTCTTTATATGAATCATGTATCAAGGAATTTGAAAATAACAATAAAGTCATTAAATTAGTATGGGTACCAGCTCATCAGGGAATAGAGGGAAATGAAAAGGCCAATACTCTTGCGAAGTCGGCCACGGAGGTTCAGGCCAATACAAGTCTGGGGATTCCGTTCATTGACTTCAGAGAGAACTCAAAAAGACAATCCCACGTGAACACCCGCAACACTCTCTCGGAACAATCACTAAAGAAGGGAATAATTTTTTTTTAAATATGGGGTATTCCATGCGAACTCAACCAGGTCAAAACCCTCACCATCGCCAACATATTGTCGATTTTTCCTGTAGTTGTATATGGAAAAATATGACTTCTCAAATTTTTTCAGATTTTTTGAGGCATGCTGTGGACAGCCATGTTTTTTTGCAAATTTTATCTTCAAATGCCTATAACTTCCGTAAAAATCAACCGATTTGAGTTTTTTTTTTACAAAATGTGCGTCTTCGAACACACTTTCCATATAAAAATATGCCAATTTTTTTCAATTCGTTCTTCCATCGATTTCCTCAGAAAAACCTCAAAAAACTTCAAAAAACGAGTCGTTTTCAAAGTTGGACCCTTTTTATATTTTTCAAAAAATTTCAGTGAATATATTGGACCAAAACAAAATTTTTCACCAAAGGCCAAAGTGGGCTTCCCATTTCGTGGCCGTAATTTCCAATTTGAATAGATGAATCTGGGATCAAAAATTTTAAAAATTTCAAAATTCTTTTCGAATTGAACGCAGAAGCATTATTTGAATTTACCGCTTGAAGAATCACTGCATTATAATCGAATCTGGAACAATTCGATTATTTTTTGAAAATTCGTTAACAATAAATCTTTCCGAGTGGTGTGTCCTAATAGAGATCCCACTTTGGGCTTTAGTGAAAAATTTTATTTTGGTCCAATATATTCACTGAAATTTTTTGAAAAATATAAAAAGGGTCCAACTTTGAAAACGAGTCGTTTTTTGATATTTTTTGAGGTTTTTCTGTGGAAATCGATGGAAGAACGAATTGAAAAAAATTAGTATATTTTTATATGGAAAGTGTGTTCGGAGACGCACATTTCGTAAAAAAAAAACCCGAATCGGTTGATTTTTACGTAAGTTACAGGCATTTGAAGATAAAACTTGCAAAAAAACATAGCTGCCCACAGGATGCCTCAAAAAATCTGAAAAAATTTGAGAAGTCATATTTTTCCATATACAACCACAGGAAAAATCGACAATATGATTGGCGATGGTGAGGGTTTTGACTTGGGTGAGTTCACATGGAATACCCCATATATAACACAACTCAGAGCAAACCTTGGTACTACTACCACCTTACACTACCCCGTAATGTAATAGTATTTATCAATAGGGCTAGAGCTAACCACTATAGTCTGAAAGGCTCTCTTGCTCGAGTTAAAATAATAGAAAATGGACAGTGTGAATGTGGGCACGACTCACAAGATTTTAACCATATATTATGGCGATGTACTAGATTAGATGAAAGCAGGGGAAAACTAATTGGAGACCTTGTAAAAGCTCGAGCTGGTTCTCTACCGTTTAATACAGTGGACTCTGGTTAGAGGCATATTGGTTAGTGTCGAACTTCCCCTCAATTTTTTTGTCCCGCCGCTCGAGCGCTTCCCCCACTCTGTCCCCACGCAAGCCGGAGAGTAAACACTCCAATATTTTCTTCAAATTGCTATTGTCTTCCGATTCCAGTAAAGACGAAAAATAAAATATTCTGCATTTGACTTGTCGATGAAAAAATTTAGTCCACTTCTGGCTGTTATGGGGGGAGGATCTCGTTTTGTTGGCATAAAATTAATTCGAAATTGGATTAAATACAATAATGAAGGGAGGTAAAGAAAACGACTGTAACATTTTTGATTCACATGGTTCGTTAACTCCAGAAGAAATATCTGTTCTATGGAATGTTAGGTACAAAGCTTCTGTGATCAAATATAGTCAATGAAATTAGAAATATTGATAATAAAGAAATCGTCTGAATCTATATGAATATTGCTATTATAGTTGAAACTGTGAACTAAAGTTTATCATTAAAATAAAGTGTTGAATTGAGAGAGAAAAGAAATAGTATTTTTCATTTTATCGTTCTCAGTTTTCTCGGATGTCGGACTCGGCGTGAGCGCGTAGTGGGGGTAGGGAAATAGAGTCGAATTCTCCGAATTCGCTTCCTCTATCCCGCAAAACAGTCGACTCTAACCAGAATCCACTGTATTGAGTCATTTCTGCCTGACATTCATGTTCAAGCATTATTAATTATTTTCCAATTTCTTGTTAAAAATGAAATTAGCATTTAGGCAAAATTGAATATACATGTACATATGCTGTAAAATGATGTACTTATTCTGTATTCTTTTTTCTTTTCCTTTTAACTATTCTTTGTTGTGCTTATAACCCCATAGAGGGGTTGAGAAAGCTTAAAATAAAAAAAGGGCTCTTTACTTTTTGTTCCCAAACCACTCATTGTCGAGATGAATGAACATTTAACACAAATTGATTATTAAGAATCCATTATTTAATTCCATCATTTAATTTTTTTAGTATCTTCATTCTTTGTTTTTCAGCTGTGGCCTGAGATTATGGAGATCATGGCCTCAGTTTGTCCAACTGAAGCTGCTATCAATGTTTCATACACCGAGGAACATGAAACTTTGATCAACAATTTCTATGAACATGTTCGAAGCCACGAGGATTATACTGGAATGCAACTGGGTGAATTCAACGACTGGATTAATTCTAGTCCACTGTGGATGAGAGAAGAATGTTGGAGTCATGAGGAGATTATACAAGTTGTTCAGGAAGAAAAAAATGGGAAATCAGAAGATCACATTGAAGATGACAAGGAAAATCAACCGAGAAATGCGAATGACAGTGATTCAGCTGCCAAAGAATTGTCAGAAGCCCAGGAGAATTTGAAGAAAGTTATTGAGTTCTGTGAGAAATATCCTCATTACTCGAAGGGGCATTTACTGAGTTTATATCAAGTCAGGGATGCAATGGGAACCCAACTTTTAATGCCGAAAACTGATCCCAGTAATTCTCCTTTAAATTAATTTATTATAAAATGAAAAATTAGAATTTATCTGTGATTTTATCTCGCCATGTAAAAAATTTAATTTCTTGTCTGCCATTTGTGATACTTACTGAATTATTTCACAAGTTAGTCATTTCCGGGCGAAATGTCAAAGATGTTTTTTGTACCACTTTTTCAAAAAGAGATCTTTGAAAAACATCATTTGTAATAAGCAAGATCACTTGTCATTTTCTCCTAAAAATCCTCGTTATCAAGATAATTAATTAGTTATAAAGACTTGTGAAAACGGAACGTTTCTTCCGTTTCCTTCAAAACGACTTTGCAGAAATCTTTTCGTCATTTCCTAAAACAAATACAATAATTTAACCCGGCTGTGTAGCGCACTCGGTAGCAGCATGAGATTCACAACCTCAAGCTCCCAGGTTCGAGAAAAATTCCACACCAATTTTTCATCACAAATTTCCACATAATATTCATCTGAAAATTTAACATAATTTTCAAACCCAATATTCCACAGATTTTCCAAGTGAAAAAACCCACTCCACATTCAACATTCCCTGGATGAAGGCCCTCGGGCGATGGACGCGTTGGCAAGTTAACCCTTGCAATGAAAAACCGGTGAAATTTTTTTTTACAATAATTTATTGTAAATTTTTTGATTTATCAAAAGTGATTTAATATTATCATTTAAAAAATGATCAATGATATCAATAAACCCATTTATTACAGTTGAATTTATATTTTTTTCTGCAATTTATTCTCTATTATTTAATTCTCCTGCAACTCGTATTTGAATTTTGCTACGTCGCGCGCAGTCGGCCGAGTGGCTTTTTCCCCCACCATTGCCTTTATACGCATCTTTTTCCAGCTTAGCGCTCTCGCTCTTTCGCTGGCGAAGAAGGGTCCTTTCATAAGTGCAAATTCCGAGAACCCAAACCCCGGGAGACGTGCAGTTATGGAGGTCTCACTGTATATACATTTACAAATTGGATATCAACAGAAAATCTAATCCGATTGGAATGCCGGAAAATTCTGAATTGTTCGGACTGCGAAAGATTCGAAACAATAATCATACATTCTGTATGTTATTCGGTGGTTACAACCCGAATTCCCCCATTGTTCCCCCATTCCATGTTTATTTCCACCTGCCATTTTTGAGTGCGCACAATAATTTTCGGAACTACTACAGCATGCGAGTTGATCAACATTTCGTGCTAAAAAATTCGGTTAATATGCCGAATGCATCCCGAATGGTGCCGAATGGTGTGGTCGAGGCATACCTCGAGGTGTATATGAACATTTTGTATGTGGATTAATTATCGATGGAACATTTGGTCTGTGCACTATTATATCGTGTACAATTTTCGACCATTCAGTTTTCAGAAATCTGAGTGAGAAACCCAGACCTAGAAGCCTGCCTAATTCCATTGAGTCGTACACATTAATATTTGAAACATGTCTTGAAAATCTCTCACAGAAATAGAAGTGTGTGCATTGAGAAAAAAAATATTCCCATGAATGACATTATTTTAACATATTTTGAACTTGATGCATTCATTATCTGATTGGATAGCTACCGAATTGCTTTATGAGTCAATCAATCACGTGTAAGTCTTGGTGGTGCTTGTTTCCAAGTACAAAACTTGGCAGTGTATTCCTCTCATTAACATTATTCTACAAATCTTTGCCAATAAACAACGAACAGGAGTAGCTTACATAAATAATTGTTTTAAATCATTATCAACAGTGTGTATAATCTAATCATCATTGTGAACACAGCTCATAATATCAAATTTATTCTCAGACAAGTTTTACACAACTGCATGTCGATTTTGAAAATGTAGAAAACCCGCCTGTGCTTGTTTCCATAGTGTAAGACACCTTTTTTTAGGTAAATTAGTCGACATAAAAATTTCAAAATTGGTTAGATGTTAGGTCTCATAATACCAAAGTTTGGTCTTTCGAATGGACTAAATCGAACGATTGATTTCGGAGACATTAGCTATGTGAAACGAGTGAGTTCACTATCCCAAAAACTACTGTCATCCTGTTTTTTCAATATTTGTGTCAAACTATGAGTACCTCTGCATTCAAAGTTTTAGAGATACTGTGGTTTTTCCATTTTTTAATCTTTATTGAGAACTTCTCGCACGCTCTTATAATATACGACAAAAAGTTGGAGTAAAATCCTAAAATTTTGGCTACTAATTAGTATTATCATGTTATATTTCGGTGGGAAATTTGGCCTCCTTGTTTAAACACATAGTAAGCCCAAAACTTAATTTCATTTGATCATACTCATCTTACACGGCGAGAAATATTCAATAAAAATTACGTATCTTTTCCGTAATTCCGAAGCGAAATATGGTTGTAGGAAATTTTACGGAACCGTCACGTAATTTTTACCTAAAATCACGGAATTTTTCCGTTCCGTTTTTAGCGTTCCGTAATTTTTATCTGAATCGCCGGTGAAAAAGTACGGTACCGTCACTTAAATTTTCCGTTTCGATTCCGTAATCGGTGAGCGATCTGTGAGTTCCGTAATTTTTACTGAATGTTTCTCTCCGTGTACTTGGAATGAATCGAATCGATACTTGAAGCACGTTGCGATCTATTTGATTGATTCAATTTTCCTAGACAATCCATTTCTGGCTTTGCATCTGAATCTCAGATGTCCATAAGGCACAAATGAACATACCTAAATTTGTCAAATTATAAGAATCCTCTATATTTTCTTTTGTTGTATCCTTTCCCTTTATGCTACTCAATCGTGCAGGGCATGCGAGATAACGCATACATTTACCGATAATCGACGGATGTCTCACACCAACGTCGATGAGAGAAAAAAACAAACAAAAAACGGTTAGAAAAAATAGCGCGAGTGGCGGTTGGCTGTTTTGCCTAACAATAGAATCCTGGGTGGATGTTCGTCATCGGGCATGGGAATCGAAAGACGAGAAGACAAAGTCAATGTAGAAGAGTGAGAGAGATCCTGATTTTTTATGCATTAAATAGGACACAGGGCGTTTGGTTATGTAAAAATGAAAGGGATGCTACAACGCAAGAGAACGCAAGGATCACGTTCGACATGACTGAGTGGGGATGAAAATCACCGGAGAGAAAACACAAAATGATGCGTTTGTAAGAAGTAGATGAGAGAAAAAAGGTTTTTTTGTTCACAGATATATAAAGATTCACCCGTGGAATGAATTTGAGGAACACACTACCTATCTATCTCCGGGGTGTGATCTACCCCCACCCAATTTTATTTGTATGGAGTAGCTAGGGGTCACAATGGTTTGCATACACTTTCCCATGGAGGATGACACCGGCTGGGCTTGCTACCTGGACCTTTAAATGCGCCTGAGACCGTGGTAAAAAAAAATATAAGGAAGTGAAGAAGGGACATAACATATGGAGATCTATGCAAAATCGTTTTACCTGAGGCTGTTTGGGAGGAGGGGAATATGTCGGGTCCAACATTACTTCCTACGACGGTCGCGGCACACCCCCCTCCCTCTCTCGCCCCTTACCGCCTTCCCCATCAACCCTTTATTATTCCAGATCTAAAGCAAAGGGTTATGCTGGGACTTTTAGGATCCTGGGGGCCATCGCTTAACCCTTAAAAAATTTTATTAAATATATGCAACGACCGGCCGCCGACCAGGTATATTCAAATGGGCATATATTACCTGGTCGCTTCCTATTCAAACACACATATGTGTTGGGGGACCCCCCCCCCCGATTCACCATACCATCATCATCATCATCAACCATTTGCCGATCATCGGAGATTTATAATAAAGAGTATAACCCCGACATTGGCAAGGTGGCACCTTTAACCACCAGCAAAGACTGTGGGAAAAAGGTCCCTGTTTTGCCTATCACTAAGAGAGTAAAGGATTTTTAGACGCAGGAGGGGTTCTGGTGCTAAAATTTCATGCATACAGCATTTCTGTATGCTTTAATGGAGCAAACTTTTCCTAAACACATTTGGTTTATTCCCAAAGGTTTTTTTAAAAGGACATTCATACGTAGCTTTGTGGATATCTCTGAGAGATCCTTTTTTGAGATAGAATGTCGAACCGTTGGAGATATGATCGAGATATTTATCGATTTTTCATACCTGATACAATGGAAAAGCGAAAGTTCCATTGAAATTTCTCCCACCACAAATAGAAAAAAGAAATGTCAGTTCTAATGAGCAATTTCTTTTATTTATTTCATTCATTTCATTGATGAAAGAGATTTAAATGACTGGATTCACGAATAATTATGAGTGAATTATCCGAGGAATTATCTCCACTATTTAATCCACGTGTCAAATGGAGGTTGTGATGGCTAGCGTTATAATTGCCCGTATAATTTTTTGTGAAAGGTCTGTAGTTGGGTGAGACAGATAGATATAGAGAAGCGGGCTCCACTTGGATATCGTAATCATATGTGTGTGTGTCATCGGATTAAAAATTAATGCAGTACACTGCGGGGCAGGAATGGCTAGTTCAGGGGCTACCAAAAGCGTCGCGCGAGCGCTCAACGGGGCCCCAGATACGTAATATGCAAATATCTCATGGTCAGGCGCGCGCCAAGACGGCACGAGGCAGACAGCTCCACGATCAAAATGATGAGCAAGAGAAAAGGATATGGCACAAAATTATTTCTGTCCCAGTCCTTTTTTTCCTTCATTTTTTTCCTCGTATGTTTATGTGCTGCTTTTTTTACTTGCATATATTTTGCTCTTTTTGCCTTGCACCCGCAAACAGATAAATAATTCATTGGGGGTTGCATGCCTCATGACAATTATGCTAATCTATTTTTGGTGAACCTGCTACTGTGCGTAATACTTGCCCTCCTCTCCGTGGGTCATTGAAACTGACAAGATGAATGAAAGGTAAGACATTGCGCAGAACAATTCATGGGATTGCACTTATGGACTCCATTTACCAACTGGACGACATGCATTGATCGATCTATTGATATATCTAGTGATATTTATGGTGTAATAGATAAATTCAACTA